GTACGTATTAGCGTTACACCAAACAGACTAGAAAACAAATTGAGTACGTATTAGCGTTACACCAAACAGATTAAAATAAATAAAGTACGTATTAGCGTTACACCAAACAGACTAGAAAACAAATAAAGTACGTATTAGCGTTACACCAAACAGACTAGAAAACAAATAAAGTACGTATTAGCGTTACACCAAACAGACTAGAAAATAAATAAAGTACGTATTAGCGTTACACCAAACAGACTAGAAAACAAATAAAGTACGTATTAGCGTTACATCAAACAGACTAGAAAACAAACATTGCACTTATTCACGTTACACCAAACAGTTTGGTTTACAAAAAAAAAAAAAAAAACAGTGAAAAATGCTGGTTTGGCGGGTTTACAAAAATCAACGATGCTAGTTTGATTCGCAAAAACAAAATCGTTAGTTTTGTTTACAAAAAACTAAGTTACGGTTTGGTTAAAAGAAAGGCAGAAAAAGGACGCTAGGATAGTTTACAAAAACCAAAGATGTTGGTTTGGTTTAGAAAAGTAAACGATGCTAACTTTATTAAAATGGAAAAAAATGTTCTTTTTGTTTACAGAAGAAGGGAATATCAAATTATCAAATGTCAGACAGAAGTTGTGTGTAGAGAGATTGGTATTTGAAATGAGTTGTGGAAATCACGAGGAATTAAATAAAAACAGGCCAAGTATTTATGGCTTGATACACAGTTAATTAAAAGTAACGTGTGCCAGAAATGTACACGCCATTTTCGTATTTGTTTGATCGGTTCTTGTGAACGGTGCCTACACAATTTTACCGGCTTTTCGGTCTTTCCGATTCATTTATGTACAACATAGTCATGGATAGATGTCCCGGTCAGTCCCGGTCAGTGACGGTCATCTCTGGGCAGGCAATACCGAAACCACGTCAGTCAGTGCAACATGACAAGTAGCTGTCAGCACTCACTGGACCGTGACGTACCTGGTCAAGTTTGCCGTCAGCCATAAGGTCCGATATTATTTGATTGATGTGGTATAGTATTGCATATATACCTACCACATCGATTGAAACGTATGTCGTCTCTCAGGTAGGAACGGATTTTTGTAAAAAAAAAAAAAAAAAACAACATACATGTTACAAAATACATGGGAATTCTAACTATACCTTAGGCCTAATTTGGGACAGTTCATATATCTCTACTGAAACCACGGTAATGATAGACTAACATTAGTAACACTAAGATCTAAGATATAGATACATATCTGAGTCCATGGCTAATATCTATATTGTTATGAGGCAAAATTGATGTTTTTCACTGAGTCGCTACAAAGAAATGCTAATCACTACTATAAACTAGCAATCACGCATAAATAATTGACAAGGGGCAGTCTTTGTTTACATATGTAGACTACCAACACCAGATTATGACATTAAACTTCAACGTCTAACAAATGATCCTTCTTGACGTATGACGTCAGCTAATATACAGTCACGAACTTAGATGTTTAAGACCGTGGTGCAGCGAATCTGTCTTTTGGAAGCAAGCAGACAATATTCGCTGAACTTTGACAACGAGTAAACATGTTAGTTTACTTCTATACACGAGCGAACAAGTAAATTATGTTAATTGACCACTGGTAACGAGTAAACAATGGCTACAAGTAGACAATCTAGGTTTACATTTGTCAATGAGTAAATAATGTTATAAGATATTTGACAACCGTCAACATTTTTATTTGACACGTCAACAGCGTTACTTGATTTGACACGTCAACAGCGTTTGTTGATTTAACACGTCAACAATGTTAGTTGATTTTTGACACGTCAACACCGTACGTTGATTTTTGACATGTCAACAGTGTTAGTTGATTTGACACGTCAACAGCATTGATTGATTTTTGACACGTCAACAGCGTTGATTGATTTTTGACACGTCAACAGTGTTAGTTGATTTTTGACACGTCAACAGCGTTAGTTGATTTGACACGTCAACAGCGTTGATTGATTTTTGACATGTCAACAGTGTTAGTTGATTTGACACGTCAACAGCGTTGATTGATTTTTGACACGTCAACAGTGTTAGTTGATTTGACACGTCAACACCGTTAGTTGATATTCGACAACAAGTTACCAACGTTATTTGCCGTTTGACCAGTGCATACAACAATAGAGACTCTTGATGAATGAAGCCGAAAATCCCCAGTTATATTCCGAATCGGATTCCCCGATAATTAAACTCCAGTTATAGCCTATATCATATTTTCTCATCATTTTTTTTCTCGTCTTATCTGTCCAACATTTAATCCCAAAGTGATATTTGTATCACACAGCTTCGATTTTGTAGTTTTATTATATATTTCAATATACAAATCATAGTGTGTTTGTATAAGAATTTGTAAAGACGGTTATTGCACAAAAAAATGACACTTAAAATCGGATATTTGAACAAATAAAACATGGACTAAGTATTGCTATTATATCATACCCCCACTGAGATAAGGAGGTTACATATTGATCACTTTGTGCGTGCATGCGCACTTGCAAGGCGATGCGTCCGTGACACATTTTTTATACGCTATTATGAACCCATGAACAGATTTGGTTCTTATACCAAAGCACCATATCACCAAGGTAAATATTACGATGTTATTTTTAGTAAAATTGTGTGGTTTGATAAACAATGATAATCGTAATCATATTTGAATATTTATTTAATAATCAACCTACAAGTGTATATATAACTTACAACTATGTCAGAATATTTGTACCGATTTGGTACTAAGAAAATATTGATACAGGTGTGTAGTTTACTCAGAGAACTCAGGACAGTTTTATAAGTACATAATCCATACATGTTAGTATTGTATATAAAAGTCTTACGAACGCTTATTAGCGGATTATAAGGGGATTGACTTCTTTCAGATATTGGAAACGACCAGTGTTCATCGTATATAATGTTACGGTACCGGAATTATAGCCCCATCTCAAAGAGAGAAAAATAATCTTACCTTTGTTGGTACAAAATGTAAATTATAAAAACAGGGTCACCTCGACTCGCGTATGTCACGCCACAACCATTGGTCAGTAGTTGAGATGGAATTATCTCAATGGTACCTGGTTTAAAAAGGCAGTTTCGTGTCAAACAATTCACTTTGGAATTGTGCTGACATAGACGCTTTTGAAATATTTTTTATTAAGGTAAGATATAATAAACCTTATATACTACAAAATATCATAATGATTTCTTAAAGAATAATTGTTAATTGGAATATCTAGTAATATAAAGAAATACAATAAAAATGTTAACATTGCAATCAAGGAAATCTCACAAGAGATAATTTTATAAAAATTGTACATTTCTCTCAAATTATAAAGGAATTGAGAAGAAAGTAAATGTAATCAAGAAAATAAACGTAAACTTATACCATAGCAGATATGTAATTGTAAATAACTGAAGTAACGAATATCTTTGTAATTGTACAAATGTATATACTAAATTTTGTATATAATGCACTTAGGAATAGTGCAGACAGAGACGCCATTGTAACATTTTCATTAAGGTACGGACGGAACGATCCCCACCTCCACAGCAAGCGAGTCATTACACTCCTGTATTAAGCAGAAACCAGAATCAACCCTGACAGTACGACAAAATCAGCGAAACAAAAACTGCAACCCAAATAGGCGAAAAACAAAGCATAATAGAGTCTTGCATCAAAATAAGATATCTTGATAAGATGATAACCTGCAGAATGACACCATTGTAAATATTCATTCAAGGGATTAATGAATTTTTTAATCCACATCCATAACGTTACCCAGAAACAACTTAAATCGTTACCTCTCTCCAAAGGATCCCCTCTACGTCTATCATCCTAAATCGTTACCTCTCTCCAAGGGATCCCCTCTACGTCTATCATCCTAAGTCGTTCCCTCTCTCCAAGGGATTCCCTCTACGTCTATCATACTAAATCGTTACCTCTCTCCAAGGGATCCCCTCTACGTCTATCATCCTAAGTCGTTACCTCTCTCCTAGGATATCCCCTCTACGTCTATCATCATAAATCGTTACCTCTCTCCAAGGGATCCCCTCTACGTCTATCATCCTAAATCGTTATCTCTCTCCAAGGGATCCCCTCTACGTCTATCATCCTAAGTCGTTACCTCTCTCCAAGGGATCCCCTCTACGTCTATCATCCTAAGTCGTTCCCTCTCTCCAAGGGATCCCCTCTACGTCTATCATCCTAAGTCGTTCCCTCTCTCCAAGGGATCCCCTCTACGTCTATCATCCTAAGTCGTTCCCTCTCTCCTAGGGATCCCCTCTACGTCTATCATCCTAAGTCGTTCCCTCTCCTAGGGGTCATCTCTACGTCTATCATCCTAAGTCGTTACCTCTCTCCAAAGGACCCCCTCTACGTCTATCATCCTAACTCGTTCCCTCTCTCCTAGGGGTCATCTCTATGTCTAGCTGATGTAACGCTATATACGTAAATATCATCCACTCTCCTAATTCTTTGCCGACCAATCTGATGTATTACCTAGACTGTTATATTCAGCTGTTATTATTATAACCTCTACCCGCCCCTCGTACCACTATCTCGCTCCCATGCCACACCCCTTATCCTGACTGTCAAGCTTAAGAAGCTGAAGCACCACTGGGAAACCAGAATGGTAATATCAGGAATTTTATCCGGAAATCGACCGTGATAACCATTCGGCAGTTTGTATGTATTACGTACGACATCGCCGGTGTGACAAACATTGTGGTTATCAATTTCTGGCAAACAATGTATGTTATCTATAAAATGAACCGCACGATTATATTTTGTACATAGCTACTTTACCCTTTCGTGGTTTTAAAGGCTTCATATGTAATATAGCAGTTGGTTATGATTTAAATATCAACGAGATTTTATCTATTTTACAGGTCATGTGCGGATACCACCTTCGTCTTTCCAGAAGTGCGGTTTTTATATCTGGCTCATTACATGAAAAGGTTTACCTAGTTTGCTAAGATGCCTCCGCCCAAAAAACCAAAAACCGGCCGCACGTCTATCGACCAGTTTCTCTCTAACGAGGAGCAGATGATTCGGAATGGATACAGTAGGGATCGATGTTGGTCCTACTCTAGTCGGGATTCCACAGACAGTATTCGGAATCGAAGTGGATCCACTTCCGGTGATTCCGACATTCGGGATCGTACGAATTCCTATTCGGGTGAATCTGACATCAGTCGGGGCTCCCCCCGACAAAGCATTGACTTGGATTGTTCATCGTTTAACGGAGAAAGTCGAACAGCAGGATTAAAACTGTTAAGAGAATTGATAATAAAGAAAAAAGAAACAGAAGAACAAAGAGTGCCTGGGAGTAGTTGTGGCGAACAATCTCCAGTAAGCGGAAGTGCGTCACCAACGAACTCAAATGCATCCGAAAAGATTCACGACGTTGATGCGAAATCTCCCCAGTATAAAATAGAAAAAGTTGAGAAATTTGAAAACGAAGAAAAAATTGACCGGAAATCCACTCCTGATCCGCTACCACCTGCCGCAGAAAAACGTGAAGTTTTAGTGGTGCCGACCATTGAGGAAAAAACTAAATCGCCCAACAAAAATAGCAATGCTTCCGTTCTCGGTAAGAAGAGTGATGATAAACTTCTAAATAATCTTGTGGCGTCATCGCTGATAACGTCACGTGCGAACGGTATGCCAGTGACGACAGTACCAAGTTACCTCTCGCCTTACTATTACGGACACTCGTCGTTGATTTCATCAATGTATACCAACGGCATGGAAACGGAGCCACGGGATTTATCGCGCAAGGTGCCCAAGACTGAGAACAGCATGGAGGCAAGATACTTCGATAGTTTGTCTTTAGGCCTAAGTGATAGTAACATCCATCCGTATATGCACTTTAATATAAATCCTTATAAAAGTGTATCTACAGCAAACGAAAAACAGTATTTGGAGGCTAGAAAAAACTTGGTTGGTATGTTGAAGGAGCCCCGTTTCAGCAGTTCCGGTCATGTTGGCTACCCTACACCGCCAGCAGAAAAGGAAGTGACGTTTGGTGGGGCGTTCCCTTTCTTCGTAAACGGCTACGATCTACACAGGTTTGTAAAAATCCATTTTCATGAGTATTAATTATTTGTAATCTGATGTGTGGTTGGTGTTTTAAATCTTTAGATATTAATTTTTTGGGTCCTTTGTGTCTTTTTTTCAGTCTTTCGTGGCTTACATTTCGTTAGATTTGATTTTTTGCATATTGTTGTTTCTATATACATTGTTAAAAATGTATGTCACCCTCATGATAAAAATCAACTGATAGGGAATTGTTATTATGAAGATAAACCACAAAAAAATCTTTATCGCGTACCTAAAAACATAAAAAGCACATTTTCTTCTGTAATAAATACAGTGTACCTCTGTCATCTTGTGGGCATGAACAAGTTAGTCCCACAGCATCACTGTCGAGTCCAAAAACGTCACACGATAGCTGTTTGTATCAGTTTAATTCACTGTACTTTATTTTTGTATCTAATTATATAGACAGTTACCGCTGTAGTTACCCTACTACTCGCTAATTATCATTATCGTCACACATAATGTGAAAGTCTGTCACGCGCCTAGTGATATGACGTTATGAATGAAGGACTCCCACGTAATGTCAACATTTCACACACTGGACTTAAATTTCACTGCGCGGTTTGAAATGCATCCTCGAGTGTCCGTTTGAAATGTGGTCATTCTTGGTCACACTTTTGAAATTTTCTTATACTGAATCTCAATAGAGTCAACGCTGGAATATATGTTCGTTTTGTTGCTGTTACATACATTTTAACCATTGGCTGTTCCATGATGGTTATTTCCAGACCGGCTTGTTACACGTTTTCGTTATTTTGTGTCTGTAAACTTTGGAATCGATTTAAACGCAACTGTTTTTAATCATTGAAAAAGAAATAGAGATAAGGATTGACTTTCTATTTGATGTAGGTTATCCAGGATAACTATATTTGAACTCGGGTAAATTTTACATAACACTCGCGTTCAATTGGAGTTATTCCTTGGTAACCTAAACTGAGAACCTTGTTCTCTTAGACACATGGGAGATAACTCGTACCAGATATGTCGTTCCAACTATTACGGATAACGATGTTAGGGGGCATAACTCTTACATACCTATGTTGATTTTTGAACGCAAATTTCGTTAGGATGTATTTTAAAATGTTAATCAATGATTATGTGACATCACATATTTCAATGTATATAAAAAGTGTTCAACAATGGTTTGATTCTTTTCTTTTAAATAAATCACATAGGCCAGCTTGGATGAATAAAAATTATTTACTTTGGAGTGTATATAATTGATGATTGTTGATCGTTTGATGAACAAATTCAAACGATGACCCAAAGATCATTTTTAATAAACTGATTAGTTCGGATTTTCCTTTGGAAAATGAGGATGCAGGGTTTCTGGACTGGATGTCAAGAAAAATATCTTCGAAAAATATGTATTAGAAATATATTTTTGAAACAGTATATCAGAAGAGAGTTATAAAGTAATACAATTGAATCGGCCGAGTGTTTATTGAAAAAACAACAACAAAAAAAACAAAAACAAAAAAACAAAAAAAAAAAAAAAAACAATAAAACAACTCAACAACAGGAATATGAATAGAATTGTGTAACAATTCTGTAGTTGTAACAAAAACAAATGGATTGATTGAGGTCTACAGAGAGCCCCGAGAGATTCAGTGCACGAGGCGAATAGTACACACTAAGTTAAGATAACTACACAATCCAATCTTCAGAATGCAAGGGTTTCGATTAAATCTCATTCTCTATAAATACATAGTATCTTCCTTCCTTCCTTTCTTTCTTCCTTCCTTCCTTCCTTCCTTCCTTCTTCCTTCCTTCCTTCCTTCCTTCCTTCAATATTCCTGCCTGTATGTCATATTTCCTGTAAATTTTCATTCCACCTTCATTTCTACCTCTGATACGGTTTTCATTTCAGATCCCAACTACCTACTATGTAGCAAGTTATTTTACGTCAACTTTTCTCAGTATCTTACCACGCTTGGCTATCTCCCCATTTCCCCTTCCTCTCCCCCTCCTGTCTCTAATAGAAACCTGCTACTGCTGGCTTCGCCTGCTGATGACCATTGGTCAGTGGAGTAATCCCCGGTATTGCGTGTATGCGCTTGACCAGCGGTTGAGCCGGTGCATGTCGTGTTTATTGTATTACGATACCCAGCTATTCCGGCCAGGTCACGGGGTTACCAAGACATTAGGTCCGAGCGGTCAACTCCATGTGACCGAGTATAGGCGGATAACATTATTGATTCCCGGCCTTTGTTGAACTGGCTGAAGTTGCTGACCAATGGTCAGTCTTTTGTGTATCATAGCTTTAAACAGTTAAACTTCAGATGATCACTGGAGCAAGTTTAGTGGAATATTTAAGCGATGGTCAAACCACCATGGATGACCATCACCAGTGTCCAGTGGAACCCTTGAAATGGTAGTGTAGCCAATGCCTCTATAACGGATTTTTTTTGGATCGTGGGTATGATATTGTTTACATGTCTCATGTTTACGAGGATATGGAAGCCCGCTTTAATGTACAGGATGCCGATTTTGAAGATGCGCTGACTGTATTACGTAGGATCACCGAACCTGGGGGTGCCGTGTCCATAGTGAAACTCCTTGCCGAAAAATCAGATATGCTTGGGTACGTTTTTACCAGAATTGGTCAACTATGAAAAAAATGGAATTTATCGCAATTTACACATTTATCTCTAATTCGCATAGATTCGGTGAAAAATATCAATGAATAGTGAAACAGTCAATATGTTTTGAAGTATTACTTTGAAACGAGAGTGTGGAGTGGAATTTTTTTTATTTGTTAGTGGTTTCGGTAGAAAGTGTCATTAGTCTGTGGCATAGTGTTTAGAAAATAATACGCTAGAGACTGGAATGACACTGCTTACTATTCAACTCGGCGACATTTGCCGTTGTACAACGGAATTTGTTAATTCAAAAGTCTGAGGTGGCATCTGTGTATTGAGTACCACTGGTCCTCAGTAACTCTGTATATGACACGTTACATCACTCTAGAATGGCTATGTAAAGTTAGCATTGCCTGTCACTGATAAACCTCGGCACACGTGACAAAGAATACGACTGAACGTTCAGATCTTTTTCTCTCCACCTGTCGCCCATCGTTGACCATTTATCGATTTCAAACATTAGAATTTATCATTAAAAATGGTGTATGTATATTGTAGTGTCCTGAAATAGTTTCTCATTCACATCCCCTTTACCTGTGGGAACTACACATGGTTAGCCAGTGGGCAGTGCTGTGGCAGGCCGACTAGGTCAGACTGACCGATGCGTGTACTGGCTGGAGTCACTGACCAACTGACCAGTACACATATTACACACATACGTAGTGGTGTTATTTCATCCTGTGAGCTGAGTGTATGTGGCTCTCGTTTCATTGGGGTGGCCATTGCTGTGGTCAAACTTTTCCCGGACTAATGAATCGGACCAGTTGACCATCTGGAACTCGGATTTTCAGATGACCGACCTATCGGATTATTAAATACCCAATTGAAAGGAAAATGTTGATGGGATGTTTTCAGATGGAGGATCCCACACATTTTTACAGGTAAACTGAGATGTTGCTGACCAGAGGTCAAAAAATGGACGGACAACAGGAAGTGAACGGTCAACTTTATTATTTTGTTACAGCACTGACGTTGGAGCCCTGATGGATAATGGGGCTGTAGTGAGATAAACAAATGTTTCAATATCGATGTTTCACCTGTATTCATGTTTTCGTGGATACGTATGGGATTTAGAAGTAGTGACATACGAAATGAGATTTTCAGTGCATATACGTCTCTATAAATGCATTTTTCTCTCACAATGAATCTTTAATTTTACTTAACTTTTTTTCGTAGGGATTCCCTTGATAAGATGACCCCCAAGGACGAACACCCGGGGGTAGGCAGTATGATGTCGCCTGGGAATTACCTATCAGTTTCGCACCTGATGCCCCCATCGAGCCATGTTCCTTCATCCACGACCTCCGACATGAGGGACCATGAAGGTTCCCTTCTCCCCCTCCTCGACGCCTCCATGTCCTACGCCGGAAGCAGGAAGTTCAAGCAGCACACGAGTCCAACAGGTTTGTAACTTGATGTATACAAATAATGTAACTCAGTGTCGCTAATTCACACGATTTCGTCAGGTCAAACCAGATATTAGCCTTATCATGATCTGCTCCTACCATGAAGACAATAAGCTAATATTTATCTACTTTTGATCAGTATTTATCCTGGCAATTTTTGGATCTAATCTGGCCAAAATAATGTTCAAACAATGTAGAATATCATCAAAAAATACATCAGGATATGGTAACGATACAAAGAACTTAATTTTATGGGTTTTTTTTACCCGATGGACCTTTGAAATATCATCTCACTCATGATTTTGAAGGTCATGGTCAGATGTCATTTTAATAAGAGGTTAGCAATTGTAATTGTTCAGGAAGAAAATTCAAATCGTTTTAAATTGCATCTTCGGTGACGGATCCAGAATTTTAGAAAGGAAGACACAAAAACTTATTTTTGAAAAATGGTAACAAAAAGTTTTCCCGCCGACTCCATAAAAAATATTGACCCGTTCGATCTGCATTTTTATTTTATCCTGCTTTTTCTAGGCCAAGAACAATAATTGTACTTTTGTACTGCAATCTTTAAATTCTTTACAAAGACGATAAAGATTACAACGAAAAAAAACTAAAACTTCACGAAAGAAAAGAAAGGGACACACGAATGTTTCATAGGGTGTTTAAAGTGATGTAGAGTAGTTAAGCGCGGTACCGTTACGTTGTCCCAGACAGGCTAAACACTCGTCAGTATCCCGAGGACTTTACGCGGGACGTGATTGACGGCGAAGGACATAACATATGTAATCGATGACAAGTGACGGATGACAAGTGTCAATTTCGTCTGGGACTGGGTACACATACACGTGTGTTGTCTGTATCTATAAAGTACACATGCGTTAGTATACAAGTTTATACAATGAAACAAGTACACAGAAACAACACGTGGTAAAATCAAGTGAACTGACAGTAGTATTACTATGTACACTATACACGTGTGTATTAGGACAGACATTTGTATTACTATGCACACTATACACGTGTGTATTAGGACAGACATTTGTAAAACTATGTACAATATACACGTGTGTATTAGGACAGACATTTGTATTACTATGTACAATATACACGTGTGTATGAGGACAGACATTTGTATTACTGTGTACAATATACACCTGTGTATTAGGACAGACGTTTGTACTACTATGTACACTATACAGTGTGTATTAGGACAGACAATTGTATTACTGTGTACAATATACACGTGTGTATTAGGACAGACATTTGTATTACTGTGTACAATATACACGTGTGTATGAGGACAGACATTTGTATTACTGTGTACAATATACAGTGTGTATGAGGACAGACATTTGTATTACTGTGTACAATATACACCTGTGTATTAGGACAGACATTTGTATTACTGTGTACAATATACACGTGTGTATTAGGACAGACATTTGTATTATTGTGTACAATATACAGTGTGTATATGGACTGAGTATTTGTTCGGCTTTCCCCATTTACACGTGTATGCCTAGTCTATTTAACAAGCTCTTTTGATATGTCTGCTTATTGTAAACTTTTCAGGAAAATTACATTGATGCATATAAAGTAACGACTTAAAAGAACATACATCAGATAATTACTGCCGTGTCTACCATCAATATTCAGTTTTTATCTGAACATATCATGATATTGATGACGTCAGTAATAGGTCGGTGTACTATACTAATTAAAGTGAAGGCCGGGAAGGCGTAACATTGCAAGTTTCCCTAATCTTTTTACCATACTGTGATGTTGTCTTTATTGATTAATTGTCATTATCGCTATGATGCAGCTAGATTTTGAAGAACAGTGTGAAAACTATATTGTTTTTCAACAGGTGCTAACACAAACAAGTTATGCCAGGTGTGTAACGACAATGCGTCAGGCTTTCATTACGGTGTGTGGTCCTGCGAGGGATGCAAGGCATTCTTTAAGAGGAGTATACAGGGTGAGTGTCTTGAACATCTTGTTATCCACCGATATCTTAATTCCACTTTATCTGAAGATCTGATTAATTACAGAGGTACTGATCACAATTACTGTTTTATCGGATTGCCAATTGTGTGTCTACACCAAGAAAATACTCTGGTGTACCCTGTTGAGGAATGATCTTTTCAAGATGGCGGACGCCAACAGCCACAAAGGTAGTTGCTAACTTTAGCTACACAGGTCCGACTTGGTCAAATTCCTCGCAAAACTCAGAAATACTCGAATTTTGTAAATGATATTTGAATGATGCTGTTATGGTCATAAATAATTGTGAGTCTTTCGCAGAGCTGAGCGAAATGTTGAAATCGGCATCGAGGCGGGACTTGCTGTAAAATTTTGCTCATATCGAAATGGTGTTCGGGAGACACTCCGATAACATAAGCTTTTAAACGATATATTATTTATGCTCATCGACCTATAATATTCCCCAAACGAAGGAGAACAATCTTGCTTACGTTACCTCAGAAACATATATATATAACAAATTGATAGAGAAAGTTACGGATTGGTTCCAAAAATAAACCCATTTCGGTTACGGATTGGTCCAATTAATGACTGTAATAGGATATAGAATGAGATACAAGTACCTTAATAAAAGTTTATATCATTGGTTTCAAATCGTTTGGTCGGGATGTGCGTATCAACTTCGTTAACTCGAATGTTTCGCTTAAATGTTCTGGTTTAAGCCATAGCTGGGGAAATTTGGACGAAAAATCGGTGATCCCGAAGTTAGTTATCGTTCTTGACATTGAAACTCGCACTGGAAAAATACAAATGTACCGCTTATCCTCAAGTTCCAAAGTTTCTGCTTACGAAATCAGCAAGTGATTGTGGATGTTGTGACTCCGGTCCGTCAACCAATCGGGACTTCAGACGCATATACATATAACAACCAGCAAAATCCTATTTCCTTTCAGACGGCTTACTCTAGTAATACGCTTTTCAAAACAACGACACTTAATGTTCGTATACAGTACCCTATAAGGCAATATCACACTCTTCCACTGTTGAAGTCATTACGAAAACAAAGTTCTGACACCTTGTGCCTCGTTTTTGTGGAATTCTGTCGGTGGGTAATAAAGCGACATCGGGAAACTCGTCTATTAGCTACAAATGGAAACAACAAAGTACCCAAGCTCGCGACACTGTCAAACGGGAAAAAGACTCACAAAACGCGGTATAATAGATCTAATCTTGAACTGGTACTCTACCTAATATTGTCTTACAGTTGTTTATACGGCTTTGGTAATTTTTGAGTGATTTATTGACGATGTGTTCTGCTCTTGTTTGTTTTCATGATATTTTTACCTAGTGGGAGCTCGAACGCAGTGACTTTTGGTCGAAAGAAGCCCGATCTATTTCCCACGAAGTTTGCATACACTTATACCTATATTGAGTAATGTTACCTCAGACACATGTTAATTGATAACATCACATGATGTTTGAATAAATTGCATAATATTTACAAGTTTGGTTTGCCTTTCATTAAAATTCGCAGGTTTCGGAAAGGAACCGTATTTTTATTCCTTAAAATAAAACATAATACAAACTCACGCAGCAAATCTTGTTCTCATGTTACTCAAATAGTGCTATAATTTCAAAGTTTTGTCATATACTAACAACCCGTCTTGCCCCCCTCCCCCCTCCCTGAAGCTGAACGTAACGAAGTTCCGGTTTCAGTCTATTATCACAGCCTTTGGATCTAGCTGTTACTACCAATCCTAGTTGTGAATATTACAAGACGTTGAGTATAAATAACACATCCCTTAAGACCGGACGTTATTGAAACGTCTCCCTGATCAGAAAAACAAACATCCGATAGTTTATATATCTCGATACGAACAAAATCTCTCGCAGCAAATACCGCCTCGTTGATGAATTCAACACTTGGTTCAACCTTGCGAAGGGTTCATAATTATTTATGATCATAACAGTACCATAAAAGTATTCTAACACAAATCTCGAGTATTTCTGAGTTTCGCGTGATACTTGTACTGGTCAGATGATATTTACATACCCAGTAACTTTGTAGCTTGAAGTGAGCACCTACATTTTGTGACTGTCTACGTCCGCCATCTTGTAAAGACCATTCCTTAATGGGTACGCGACAGTGAAATAAATCGTCACAGGAAGTGATTAGATACATCGAGCGTTCTCTATTGAAACAATACAAGTCTATAGTATCTTGTAAAAAGAATATGGGTCGCAAGAACGAGGTCAAGGTCAACCAATGGAGTTCCTTTTGAATTAGTGTCCGTAGAGATTTTTTTACGATATGAAGCATGTGAGAATTTATCAATAGATAGTGAGTTCTGAATCTGTTGTCAACCGACACCTGCTAATCTGGTTGGTTGGTTGGTTTCCCGTCTCTTATTTCTAGATTTTGTGTCACTGGCGAACGCCAGTGTCCTTGAGTTGCGTAGAATCTTAAAGCCGAGGTCTACTACAATATGGATCTACCGTGGTCTCCATATTATAGCATGTCAATTTCGAGAATTTTATCTTCAACTCTGTGACAAATTCTCAGGTCCCTGTGTGTGTATTTTTAAAATTTTTATTCCATTTTTTTCACGAGGACTTTAAACGACGGATGGGTTATGAATTAATTCCGAGTTTCTCTGCTTAAAAAATGACATCTCGATTAATGAAGTTAAATTAGGATATCTCTGCCGGACTACTGGGCATTCCATTACAAATGTAGACTCAGTCCCATCAGTGCACAAAGGTCAAAAATAGGAATCACGGTCAAGTAGTAGATGTTTCTAAAGCTGCACCATTTATGACCTTGACATCCACAAATCATATTCTCCCGGCTTTGAACTTGAGCGCTTGCTAGGTTTAGAGTATTCTTTAAAATCCAAGATAATCGCCTTGACTTTGACATTTTAAAATTTATGTCATGTGTGACATAAACGTTTATTATTTATTACTTATCAGGTAGTGCTATTTCCTTGACAAATGTGAAATCCAAGATGGCCGCCATGGTCCCTGTTTATCCAATCCAATCCTCGATTTCAAACTTTCTTTTTGCGATCTTAGCTACTTCTGGTAATATTTGATATTTAACAGGCTAATTGCAAGTGTTTTCGAGATGTCAGCTATCAGAATGTAATATTATCCCAGGAAATCCAGGGAAAAAAATTAAAAGAAACAACCCTATAGACATGCTGTGAACCAACGTCGCTGATTGAAATTTAAATCTCTAGACATGTTTCAGTAAACCACGTCTGTTTGAACCATCATTAATTATTACTCTATGGAAATCATTAAAGCGCCTCGTAAACACAGACTAACGAACACGTGATTAGCTGAGGTGGGGTCATTCGGTATATCCTGGATGTTTTAGTGTAAGATTCCCCTCTCCCCTAGAGTTTGACGTGACCCTACTGCGCCGTTTGCAGCCGATCGGTAGCACTGCTAAGATGAGGTCCGGGAATAGAGGTCTTGTGTATCGATTTAAACTATGTAGACCTGGGTATAATGTGTATGGTTAGATTGGGCTAGGAAAAATATCACGGAAAATATGTAAGTTTTCTTACTCATAACACAACATGATAAAATAATATATATCAATGAAAATTATCCGGCAATCTACAGAAAGTAGAGTGTTTGTTGTTTTTTTCAGTAATTAAGTATCATTTTTTATTTCGAGATATTTTGAACTTGTTTTCGGTAAAAGATGGCTTGGCTTCAGATGTAGATGAACACATTGCACTCTCTGATCCAGTGACATACGTAAATGAAGTCTGCGTGCGTTGGCGCGTTCGTATGGTAAACCGACAGGCCATGTTCGTTACGTTACGTATATACTTACTTAATGAGAAAGCATCGGATTAGCACGAGTCGTGTTAAACTCGTTGATTGTTAAGGGATATCTCCAAAACGTTGGAGTTAACACACAGACAAGGGTGTACGATATGATAAACGTATTCCATCAGTTGAGGAAATATTGGGAATTGTTTGCGGGTACCGTATTTCCGTGTCAATACACTCCAGTACTGAGTACCATGCACATTCGTGTTGTTAGATAAATAACTGTGTGGGTATCTTAGTGCTACGTACTTAATCAGTGGATACTGTACGAATACAGTGTTGGAGCTGCCAGTAGGAGTACCGTGTAAATACAGTGTAGCATTGTGTTAGTACCATGTGAGTATCGTTTGAGTACCGTTTATTGTGTTGTTAAAGTGTTAGCAAGGTGGGTATTGTGTGGGTGCTATATCCGTACTAATTGCGATGTGGGTACACAATATGCGTTTTTACTGAGTATATATCACAGTAAAGTTACGTTGAGTACCGTGTGAAATAATGTGCGTGTATCGTTTTAGTACCGTGCGAGTACAGTGTAGGCGAGTAGCGTAGGTATAGTTACGTTGAGTACCGTGTGAAATAATGTGCGGGTATCGTTGTAGTACCGTGCGAGTACAGTGTAGGCGAGTAGCGTAGGTATAGTTACGTTGAGTACCGTGTGAAATAATGTGCGGGTATCGTTGTAGTACCGTGCGAGTACAGTGTAGGCGAGTAGCGTAGGTATAGTTACGTTGAGTTCCGTGTGAAATAATGTGCGGGTATCGTTGTAGTACCGTGTGAATACAGTGTAGGCGAGTAGCGTAGGTATAGTTACATTGAGTATTGTGTGAAATATAATGTGCGGGTATCGTTTTAGTACCGTGTGAATACAGTGTAGGCGAGTAGCGTAGGTATAGTTACATTGAGTTTTGTGTGAAGTAATGTGCGGGTATCGTTTTAGTACCGTGTGAATACAGTGTAGGCGAGTAGCGTAGGTATAGTTACATTGAGTATTGTGTGAAATAATGTGCGGGTATCGTTTTAGTACCGTGTGAGTACAGTGTAGGCGAGTAGCGTAGGTATAGTTACATTGAGTACCGTGTGATTACAGTAAAGTTTGCTTTGCAGGGCCAGTTGATTATGTGTGTCCAGCAACCAACACTTGCACCATCGATAAACACAGACGAAAGAGCTGCCAGGCGTGCAGACTGCGTAAATGTTATGAGGTCGGCATGAACAAAGGTAGGAAACATAGTACACCACCGGAAAATTCTAATAACGTCGCATAAAAAAATGATAGTACAAAGCAAAGTAATGAAATCATGAAAAAAGTGTCTCTAACGAATTAATTTCCGACGGTTGACAGGGAGTCAGAGGAAAGATAGAAAGAGCTGTCTGAACATGGGCAAGCAAACGACAAAGAGAAGTCGTGCGGATTCCATGGACAATACCGTAAACTCAACAAGTGGAAGTCCAAATCCAGCAAAGGTAAAGAAATCAAATTTAATTTGCAATCTAAATAGCGATCCTTAATAAATCTTTCTGAGACAACTAAGAGTTTTAAAAACAAATTGGTTTGAAATTTAAAAAAAAAATGCTTTTTAGTGTTATGGAAATCGATTTGTGTGGATAGATATTGGAAAGTGTTTTCTCAAATTGAGTTTCGTTTTCAAGAAAGAAAATGAAGAATAAGAGTATATGTTTAATGGCTATGAACTTTCTTACACAATCGTTGTTGATGTCAGTAAACAGGAAGACCAACAGCGAATGTGTAAGAAACATCCAAACTTCCTGTTTATGTTACAAAAAGAGGATGTTGACAATTGTTTGCTTGTCAACACGGGGAACCTGTTGTTTGTAATACACTAGTTTGTTGGCTGACGTCCCTAAAAATCATTCATTCTCTTCCACACGATGAGGTCAGAAGTTCAGGAAAAGCGTTCTTACGTTTTCAAACATCCACCTATATTTAGTGTTTGTATTTCTAAACTGTAAAGTTAGAGTGTTTGTTGATCGAGTCAATACTTTAAAACATGATGAATTGACAAATCTTGTAAATCTGTTGATTAGTCGATGATTTGAACTCCATTGTTTGGTCAATTCTTTGAAATTGTAGTAAATATTTTAAACGCCAGTGATTGGCCAATATTTTGAAATCCATCGATTGGTCATTTCTGTAAAATCTGTTGATCCGTCAATTATTGAAAACCCCGTTGATTGGTTAGTATTTGAATTCCTTTCGTTGGTCGATATTTCCAAAACGTTTGATTAGTAAATACTTTGAATTTTGCTGACTGGTGAACAATCGAAAGATGCTGATCAAAGACAATAGGTACATGATACTATTCTACTGAATAGATTTATGTGAATTATGGCGAAGAAGTTTAATTTTGCTTTCATTTTCAGAGTCCGAGACGATCGCAGACATCTATTATACTGGATATTTTGGCCAAGGCGGATTTGCCTACGATTGAGAGTTTCCACAATCATAGTGTGCCACCCACGAAGGTGCATTTACTAAACTCCCTTACTAAGCTGTCCGAACGAGAGCTGGTCCATCTTATCAACTGGGCCAAGAATGTTCCAGGTAAATTTATTTCTACCCATATCAAATAAAAGACAATTTTACGTCGATAAATGTTATTGTGTTTTAACATTGACTGTTTAATTGGCATATTAGCATGCATGTGACCTGACAGACTCGAGAAAACACGCATGTATTTAGAAATGTCTGAGACCAAGATTTCATTTGGAAATATCATGAATTAATTAATATGATCTATTTCCGCTCGAATGGTCTGGTGGCGAAGTGGTAACACACTCGCCTTTAACTTGCCCCTTTTTCGATCCCCCTGGGTACTCCGGTTTCCTCCCACAATAAGACCCTTTTTGCGCTCACATCCGGGCCACCAAGAGTGATTAGTTTCTGTTGGAATAACATCTTTCATAATGGTTGCGAAATGTTAATATATGTAATGATAATAATTTAATTGATATTTCCACCCGGTACATGAACCCTATTTATACAGTTTCACTCTCACTTTTCGTTCTATGAATCTATAACCATTTTATGGTAATTCCTTATGGCAGTATCTTTATAGATGTTCCATGTCGTTGTACCGTTACATGTTTTATTTATTTTGATTTGACAGGATTTACAATAAGCTTTAACACATATCATTTACGAATAGATATGTGTTATTATGCCTTGAATAATATATCTAAGTATTTCAAATTAAAAAAGAAATACAGTTTGCTAATACTAGTAATTAAACGAGAAGAGAAAATAAGAGTAATCACTTGCATGTACTGTAAATTTTAAATAATTTCAGAAATTCCTTTTTAAAATCGGTGTAATCCGCAAACCGGCCATGTTTTCTCATTTTAATATGGAACGTATAAATAAAAAAATTGTAACGATTCCCTTGATCGGTTCCCATCACGTCCGCTTAAATTAAAATGTTTCATACTCGCCTTATAACAGTTCACAATACATCTTTCATTGTACGCGTCATTCAAGTCCAGACACTATTGTCCGAGCACACCGCCTTTGATCAAATGGTCATTTATAAGAGGATCATTCCTGCCCAAAGTCATAAAAGGTCGTTAGTTTAGCCAATAATGGTGGTTAAGATCTCTGTCCGGTGACGAGGCCTCACAGGCATGGTCACTGCTGGACACTACACTGTTTATACTTGGTCATTCTCTGTCCTTAGGCTACACCGATCTGTCCCTAAGTGATCAAGTCCATCTTATCGAATGCTGTTGGATGGAACTCCTGTTGTTGAACTGTGCATATCGGTCGATGGACCATGGTGGAAAACGGCTGGCGTTTGCTTCCGATCTTATACTAGAGAGGTAACAATACTCTGACATACAAACCGAGTCAGCGGTTATTGTATAGGATAATGACATGGAATTCCTGATCCACTTTCGTTAAAGGCTGAAAGGTCGAAAGACAACATCTTAAGAATACGTTGGAAGAGAGTTGATGATATTTAAAACAATGGTCATATGAAGATTTTGCCTTGCCAGAAGCAGTTATTCTTAAGGTGTCTCTTTAACAAGGCCTAATCACCTTTCATATATATATTATACATATATATGGTACATAAGCAAATAAAAAACAAAAAAAAAAAAGATTAAAAACACTTTCTGGTTTAAACATGACGAACAAACAACTGACAAGCATTTGTACTGTTTCCCCTTCCTAGGCCCCATTGGGAGACGGTTGGGATGTCCGAAATATTTGAACAAGTTGCGGCTGTCTCTGAACAGATGGTTCAATGTCATCTTCACAAGGATGAACTTCTCCTGCTTCAGGCTACAGTTCTCGTGAACGCCGGTGAGCTATTCTCCCCATTTTAGAAAAAAATATGTTTAAAAAGTCTTCATGTTGGAATGAATTAGATAATTTACATTTTAAAATGACAACACATTTAATTTTTTTCTTTAAAAAATTTGTTTTGAAATGTCTAAAATACATATCTGAATTTATCAGAATTATTTTGCAAATAACAAAGTGGTGAAAATAACGTTAAACTTGACTCGTGTATGTGAACATTGTCGATTAGGTTTTACCTATACTAATCGTACCTTTCACTGTATTATAATTAACACATCCGTATTATCTATTTAAACAGAAGTCCGAAAGCTGGCCAGCTGTAGTAAGATACACGACATGAGACAGTCGATATTAGATGCCTTAGTTGACACCGCTCAAAAATATCATCCAGACAACCTGAGACACGTGCCGTCCATTCTTCTGCTTCTCACGCATCTACGACAAGCTGGCGAAAGGGGTATCGCATACTTTCAAAAACTGAAAAACGAGGAAACTGTGTATTTCTGTGACTTATTAAAAGAAATGTTGGATGCACAGGACTATTCTGAAAAGCGGACAGGTAATGAAGGAGAGTGATAGAAAATATCATTTATTCTCGGTATTTTCACGTCAAAGTTGGTGCGTTTTCACGGTCTTAAGGATTTAATGTTGATACTGTTTAAACATTTAAAGTGAACTTTAATAGGGCATTTGGTTGAGTGAGTTTCGAGTCAACTTGACTCCGACTCTGATACCTTGGTGTTGGGACATTATAATGACACCCCATGGACTCGCACCTAACTTGGTAACGTCGGTGTAACTATATAAAGACCCCAAAATTATATGTACGAGTTTGTGAACTCGTGAACGTTCGGATGTTAAATTGTGTTGATCAAGATTATCATAATATTGTATTTGGTGCAGCCTAAATGTGGAGTTGCTGAATGGTGACTTAAGACGACGATTTGACTTACTGAAGAAGATTTTAATATTTGTTACCTGTCAAAGTGTGGGCACCTTGTGTCCGTACTGGTCAATATTAACATGTTGTAATTATTAGCAGACATATTGAACAAATTGTTTGTGTCGTCATCATGTCTGTTTAATCTATCGCTTAAAGCGTCATCACCATCTGTTTAAAGTTCCTGGGAAGCGAGTTTAGAGGACGTATTCCTGGGATTTTTATGTGCCAAGTAAATACATGTCCAATGGTAAAAGTTGTATTAACCTAGAAATGGTTTACTTTAACTGGTTCATGTCAAATGGTTAGAGTTTAATGTTACTGATCCATGTCACGTGGTCATAGTTTTATTTCACTATCGCATGTAACATGGTCAGAATTAGTTTTGACCGATGTGTGCACTATGGTCAGAGTTATTTTTGGTTGATACATTTGCTATGGGTAGAATGTATTTGACGGATACATGTGCTATGGGTAGAATTTATTAGACCGATACATGTGCTATGGGTAGAATATATTTGACGGATACATGTGCTATAGGTAGAATGTATTTGACCGATACACGTGCTATGGGTAGAATGTATTTGACCGATGCATTTGCTATGGGTAGAATGTATTTGACGTATACATGTGCTATGGGTAGAATGTTTTTGACCGATACATGTGTTATGGGTAGAATGTATTTGACCGATACATGTGCTATGGGTAGAATGTATTTGACCGATATTTGCCCGTATTTTGACATTTGTTTGATATGACATGTGTTAAGAGTTTATCTTGACCTTAATAAGGTTCATGGTTAATAGATTATATCTGATGTGCTATGGTTATCATTTAATTTGGCCGATATTTCACTTTTTGCCTAGTGGCTTTCTTGACCGAAAGATGTCTTATGGTAAAGAAAAAAGTTGTTTTGTCCAGATAATGACACGAGGAATTTGGTATAGATGAATGAGTATTCAGCATCTATTATTGATTAAAACTCGTAATTATCAACACACACGAGAATCTGTAATTCTCATACCACAGTAGAATTATCCCCTTAACAACTTGAAATGTTATTATGTTTCAGTGTGTATTCACATATCCGCGGCTTTATTTAGAGATTTTACAAAAGACACACAAATGAATTACACCTTTCAATTCAGATTTAGAATTAGAAACAATGGAGCCAGTTTGGATTTCTTTTCTCGTGTAGTATGCAGAACAGTATGTTTCTGTCCATTTTGTGAATTCTAAAACTCAGAAATAATCTTTTCATAATTAATGCAAAACGTTGAGAAGAATTAGGAGAGGTATCACTGACACTTTTTTTTACACAAATATGACAGTTACCCAGGCAACCTATGATACAAGTTGTTCATGTCCAGGGAAAAGTATGATTTATTGATTAACATTCGTACTAAGTAGATTATTAAATTCGTTTTACCATGTTTAATGCTGTCTCCTTCGGTAATTAGTTCAATCTCCGATGTTTTTATTTAATGTTCTCATCTGATGTAGGTTATAAACCTACAGATATATATATAAAACATGCTAATATATCCTTCCAAATGTCACTCATACATGCCCGGAAGTTCTATTTAATGTGTGTTTTGATGTAAATCTGCTTTTTGATATTTGGTCAGTCACATTTTGCTTATTGGTTTTTAAAAATGTCATTCTTTGTTCATATTGTTTGTTATGTTCAATGGTTGGAAGTTATCAACACAAAACATCTCTTTATATTTACATATGATATATAAAATACTACATTTAGGACCATCCTCGATACTCCAAGGCTTACCATCACCCTTCTGAACCCTTGGAACATCCTATGACAAAATAGAAGGTTCCTTGAGCGACACCTCGTGGACAAGACGAAAATACTAGTCTGATCCTTTGATGTATATGAAACGAATCTCTAGGTTGCAAAACATGATATTGTAATGTAAATTGAGTGTTGCTCCGTTGTAATCGTCGGAAGGAAGTAATCAGCGTGTGATTGGTCAATTTATTTCTCATGGAACCAATCAAATTACTTCGTTTGTACCTTGAATTTTGCCATGAAATGTTCCAAGGGTGCAGAGTGCGAGAGTGAACCCCAGGAGTATAGAAGATGGTGGATGTCACGCCTTTTGCCGCTTGGTGCATTTGTTATCATTAAATCTTAATACAAAACATGACTACGGTCGACAAGATATCTTTCTAAAGTTATAAAAGTTACCATGAAGCTGTCGCGGTAATTGTTTCAATGACGAGCAGATTTTTATTTGTTATCTCAGCTGCATCTACATTTAATATTTCTTAAAGATATTTTGTTAGAGCAATGTCATATACTATAACGGTTCTTTTTTTCAATGATTCAAATTTTCGCAGTTTTGTCAAAAGTGGGATGCAAAATGGATGCAATTTTCACGGAAGTACTGAAACTTATAACGATTTTCACCTTTAGATTTCTTTCAATTTTAAAGTTCAATTGGAACCTCCAATTCAGCGAAAATATGACTCCTCGAAAATTAAAAGATTTTTAGTGTCTAGTAATTTTATTTGTATTGTTAAGTGCAGATCCGTCTTTTATAATTGGTTTGATATGGTATTTGTGGAGCTGTTAAACAGCACACGTGGAGTGAAAATAATCTGTATATGGCCACGTAAAAAGTGCACTATATTTTAACTGCAATGTAAAATTGTCTGTATTCCTTATACAGATCAAGAATAGTGCATGAATTTCCATGCTTAGTCTATAGTATATGTTAGCAAGCTTATAGACATTCAACTGCCGTACTATAAGGGGTAGAGAGCTACACCTATTGATTGGTCAGTTGGATGTAGATAGAGGCCAAGCTGGTGCAGGGAATTCACCTATAATTATGTGTATACCAGTTTATAGTAAGTGCTTTGAAAATGTGCCAGGTGTTACAACTATCAGATATTCATTTATTCTCTCTCTCTTTTTTTTTTACGTTTTTTTAAACACTGCAAAATTCATTCTGGAATTTTTCGATATCTTAATCTAAATTGCCAAAAATGTTTTCTATTTTTCCTGTATGATTTTAAAATATGAAATACAAAATTATATAATTTTCAGCAGAATCCTTTAAACTAAATTCTATATACTTATTTTTACCACAATTATGATGAATAGAGTAATATGTACAACAGAAGAAACCTGTTGATGACACGTGGCCGTTCTTTATACTGGTTATCTGTTATGTCACTATTGTATTTTATAATGTTTTTTTCTTTTATGTTCAAAGGCGAATGTATTTTATTAAAATATAAAATCGATCTGTTGTTGGATTCATTTTCTTTGTTTTTATGACGGCAAGCTTTACGGAATTGAGAACTTATTTGAGCCATTCCTTTTTTGGGCAATCGTGAATCTGATGGTGCGGGCTCAACTACTGCACAGAGATAATACTTATTTTATTCATTAAAATACCCTGTAAAATCATGTTCGTGTGACTCGAATTTCGTGGTTTGTCGTTATGATTTCTGGGATAATTATGTGAACTAACAACCATCGTCCATATCTTTACAAGTTATTGATTCTTGGATAAAGAACTGACACGTAATCAGCGGAAATTAAAACCGAATTATAGTACTCAGTAATATACGGAGACGACTCAGCATTCTAAATACGAAAACAACACCGATGTCCGGATTTTTTACCCCATTTGATAAAATATCTTATGACTTCACTTACAAACATCAAAAGCTGATGACTATAGATATTACACTATGTGCTATCAGACGTATGAGTTGTGCGGACGAGATGAAATTATTTTGGTTTCGAATAACGATGATTTGCCTTTTTGTACACAAACATCTATGTATGTCGAATGAGTTTGACGGATATACTCTATATAAACATTAACGATCTTCAGCCTTATCATCATATTTGCTTAAACGTTTGCGCAATTTACAAACCCTCAATTTTTTAATTAGCGCTGTTGCAAAAACAATTTACAAACTTACTATAATCTCATCTTAACGGGATTCGAACCGATGTACCTCAGGATTCTTTTTATATTTTTTTGTCTTTATAAGTATAAAATTGGTACAATTCATGTACATACGAGGGCTGAATGATAAGTTGTGAGATTGTATGGAAGGAGTTCAGCAAGGATGTCTTTGTCCAGCTCTACTATTTTCTGACTATTTAAGGCTGTTTACCCGAAGACTGGTGTCATTTGGTCAGCTTATGTCGAATGGGTAGCGGTATTTCCTAAATTGAAAACGTCCATTTCCGGAACCCACTTTCAGTCAGATTGTGACGTCATACATGTAGTGGCGAGCTATCTGAACGGTCAAGAATAGGACTTCTTTAAAAGTGGAATTGAGGCCCTTAAACATCGCTGGCTAAAGTGTATAGATACTGAAGATGTTGAAACATAATGCAATATGTCCGCCAAAAGTCAAACACTTGAATATGAGGCTCACATCAACCATCCCTCGTACTACAGTCATAGATTTCTGAAAATATATGTTGTTTCTACGTTTGATTAATATCAATTCGTTTTCAATCGTGAAGTAAATGTGAAAAAATTACGATATTCCAAATAAGGATGAATTGTTCTATTATATGTAACACTCATTGAATTTGACAGGAACAATTTAATCGTATAATACTGGGACAGCGAATCTGACAAGC